CAGTCTCCACACAATATTCTCAGGAACGTTCATTTATCATTCACACCAGAGAAATACATCAAGCCCTCCAACTCACAACCAACTCCACGATTCACGCTGTCCACCGTATCCAGTCCAAGAAAACAGGTTCGCCCTCCACGTTCATGAAAGTTGTCACTACTTCCAAAACTACAGCAGATCTCATCCTCACCCACGGCTGCTACCTTGATTATCATCACTTTAAGGCAGAAAAACCTTACCGTAAGCCTCACCCACCCCATACCTTTCCTAACCTACCCCCAAGCCCACGTTTCTCAACACCCTAAAGAAACCCACCGCCAACCAGTACTCTACCGCCCATCCTATTACAATAGACCAAGCCATTGAAACCTCACCCACTCCTGAATCACAAGACATGTCAACCCAAACCACCACAACTAGGAGAAAAAAAGCACCCAGACCCAGCCACAAGTCTTCACTGTTACCAACGACGCCAAACAACAACAAACCAACAACCCGACTAGATAATCAAATTTTAAGAAGTGTGTCGTTATCCTTCTAAAGCTCTTACTTCTTCAAAGGATAAATAGATACATTTTTAAAACTTAAAAAGGAAATTTCAAGATGTCCTTTACAATAAAACACTAAAGAATCATAAAAACCTATGTTCAGTTGGATCCTGAACGAAAAGGTGTTCACCTGCGTTCATACTAACCCTGGAAGAAAATATGTTTCTAAACAATGGCTAAACTGGACCGTTGGAGTATGTCTGGAGACAAAAGTCAACTGGCCTATGTATCATCTGTAAGAGTATATTATACATTAATGACTGATTATTCTAAGATTATTATAGATGTTATACTTATCAACGCTGAAGTTTCTGCCTCCACTGGAAGCATAGACATGTATATCTTTCACAGCTAAATCAGACGAATATCTCTTTGGCTCATCACCATTCAAGCTTGCACGAAAATGTTTAGTTTCTTTCAATTACAAAACATGAATAAATTTAAAAGAAATACTTCGTGTGCATATAGAGGACAAACAACTTGTAACGTTATTTCAAGAGTTATGTATGAGATTTTCAAATTAATTTTACAATACAACGAATTATAACTGTAAATCTCACGTGTTTTGTAGGTTAAGACTACCATCGTTTTGTGCATATTCTTATCAAGGTCTGTGAGAACGTGTATTTAGTTCATTTCATATTACAAATAATCGGAAAATATAGTTATGGTAAACTTAGACTGATCATTCCATATCAGAAAGTAACTTAACTTTAAGCTGTTCAGACTGAAGATCAAAGGTCAGATAAATGTGTGTCTAGCTTTGCCTTTATGATAAAATTGAGGAACAAAAAAACGAAAGATACATATACATAAACAAAATTGCTAAAATATAAACGACTTGAGTAGTTTTATATTTACCTAGACGTACTTGAAAATTTGTATATATCACCAGTCTAGCTAAAGAAGATATCAAAAACTTTCAGAAATATTCGTAGAAGATCAGGTGATAGATTAATTGTTTATGTTTATTGTAAAGGAAAATATTAGAAGTGAGAAACTGTTTCAAGTGTAGTAATGATACGTGCAATCATAACATTCTCTGTTTCAAGATTTTGTGGTCCTGAAAAGGATCTTTAATTATAAATTATGATTAAACAAGGCAATTTTCCTCAGAAGAAATATGCCCCTCGTCTTCTGGACGAATTCCCATCTGAAATACATTGTTTAGATTCTAAATGATAAAATCCTTATAACCCGAGCGCATTCGAAAAGTGGACCTTTCTTCTTCAGGGTCAAAGAAGAAAGGTCCACCCCTCGAAAGCGCTCGGGTTACAGAGTTTTTATCATTTTGTATCAAGACTTACTGAACCTATGTGTTTTTCTGACATCAAGATTGTTTCGATTCCGTAACGCTCCAAGATATTTTACGAATATCTACATGCTCAGTTAAATGATTGTACAATAAAGTACATCTCCGTAAACAAAATAAATAGGACATTAGGCAAAATGATTTTTACGAAGATGATGATCACATGATTTTACATTTTGAAAATATTTACCACATAATGTAATAGAAACTAATAAATGAATAAACAATAAACTAAATAAAAACTAATGTTAAGAACTAAAGAGAAGGAAATATCAATTCTTGTTTTCGTAATGTGATACGTACGATATAATATCTAGAGCTTGAGTATTTTACTTATAAAGCAACACATAACAGTAAGATTGTAAGTTAATTTTTTATTCTATTTGATAAATAAATAATGGTTAAGAAACTTCAGGTTGGCATGAAAAAACAGCCCTTTTCAGGACTATGTAAGATAAACTAGTATAAGTGTAAAGAGTACTTTGTGCAAAATAGACGAAATATTAATTTCAATTATTATTATTATTGAAGTGAAACTATAAAGCTGACGATTTAATTACCTGTTGAGACACGTTGATCTACAACACTCACTGGTGAATCACTCGCGAATCATATGCGCGATCGATGACCTCATCGTCCTAAAGTTTAGTACTCCCATTTTCCGACCATAGTAACACACCTTCTGGTGATACACACTGGAACTATCTGTACTCTCCTTTCCTGTGCCTTAGCAATGCGCCATCTGGTGGTACAACATGAACATATGACTTCAAGTGACACTTTGACTTCCTAACTACTGTCGTTTATGTGTTGTTATACTATAGATAATTTGTACTTTTTACGTGTGAGAGCTACAAAGCGTTTTCTTTTGTCTGATGCTTTGATTAACAGATTGCGATCATTATGCAACTGTTTTAATACAGTTTGTTCTAAAGAAGAAAGGTTCTGTTGGTGTTAATGATTAAGGTGCTTAGATAACAGTTTCAAACCCACTAGTAGTACCATATCCATAGAAAATTAAATCTAGTCATATCGTGCCTTAATGATACAATAACTGCAAAAGTAAGAAGACTAGTCAAACAATATTTTCTACCGATCAGATTAATACAAACACTATGAAAACCCTTAAAAAAGTTGGTCCACTATGTTTTTACCTAGAAAAAACTGTGAAAGACACTTGGTTTGCCAGAAACAACGAAAATAAGAAATATTTACAGCCAACAACATAATCTACCAACTAGAATTCAAAACTTGAAGAGAAACACACGAGAAACGACAATTCGTAAACAATATAAAGTTTTTAATGTTCGATAAAGCTTTATTTCCCATCTGCTTATATTAAGCATTGTACATCAGATAAAATAAAAACAGTCCTGTGTGAATAATTCCTTCCTATGTTTTTGACGTGGCACCAAAAGTCCAATGGGAACCTTGCTTCAACGATCTTCATCCTTTCGAGCCAATTATATATCTTTTTACAACAGTGGACGAACCGTATGATTGATTAACAATGACATACTAGTTGTGCTATGATGGTTGTCATGACAATAGGTTAATAACGTAGCCTCTTCTAAATGATGAACCAGATTTCTCTCCATTTACCTCAGAAATCAGTTAATCTAAACTATTTTTGAAATTAAAGGATTTCTTCTAGAACCTTTTATCATCAAACTAAACATGGCTGCGAGCAACATCATTTAGTTTCCTGTCATTAATTAAACCACATATCAATTACATAAGTGATTTATTAAAAACAATTTTTATATGACCAACAATGACGTTGTTAGGTGAAGTAGCAAATCAAAATAAACCCCATCGTTATTGTTAAATAAAAAAGGTATCTTTCCTTAAGAAATAAAAGTGATACCCTACGTAATTTCTTTGTTAAACCTCTGAATCTATCATTTGTATGTACTTTAAATTTATGTGAGAATTTTTTAATATTTTGCTGAACTACAGCTGGTTCATTTAGCCAGTGAAAATAGGGCGTTTTCTATTGGAAGTATTGCTAGTGGTGTATTGATGTGTCAAACTTTATAAAATTTCTCAGAATCAATCATTAACGGTTTGTAGGAGCTTCATTAAACTTCAACACGTACACAAGCTTAAGCTATTACGTATTGTTTGTTTGAAGTATCTTTAATGACTATTTTACGAAATGACTTTTGTTTTAAAATTCACATTCAGACCTGTTTGATATATAAAATATAATTTTATTATGGGAAGACGTTGTTGGAGGCCAGCTAAACAAAAAACAACAACCTCTAGCTGGTTCTTAGCGTTCTATAAACACTCGTTTATCTTTCTTCTGGCCTAAGCGGTAATAGTGGATGGCGTATCGTATTGGGGATACAAGGGTTTTGGCTCAAAAAGTGGTGTACGAAACACGATTTCTGCTCTCAGCTATGAGTGCGTTATAGGGGTGAGAGTTAATCTCGGTATTCGGTTAAGAGTAACTGCTAAAGACGGATAGTGCGATCGACTGGTTGTCTACCCTGTAGTTCGCAATTCAAAAAAGTGACAGATATGTCTGAACTACAAGGGTCTCTCACCAGGCAGTTTAGCCAATTGTGTTTTAAGTGAAAAAAATTCAAAATCAAACTATCTTCTTCTGGCTTTATAAGACGTCGACTTGGTGATGTTGAATATTACTTCAGGTCCACTAAAACTAAAAACAAAATAAGAGACCAAAAAAAAAGCTGTTTATAAAACGTTATCAAGAAAATTAGCTTAAAGACTTTCAGTAACAGTCATTAGCTTAAACAGCGTCAAAAGTTACTTCTAACTTAAACACTTTTATCAAAGTTATTTGCCCGGCATGTCCAGGTGGTTAGGGAGGTCGACTCGCAATCTGCGGGTCGCGGGTTCGAATCCCATCCCACCAACATGCTCGCCCTTTCAGCCGTGGAGGCGTTATAATGTGCGGTCAATCCCACTATT